CACAACATTAATATCCTACAACACCCTCAACATCAACAATTGTTGTATGCAGACAGTCCATTAAATGGTTCCCCACAACAATATATGGACTCTTCTATGGCAAAATATGATTATCCTTATATGGATGATTCTCATTCATATGATGGCAGTCCAGTATCTGCAACAGCTACGACGTTTGTAAATACTCCAATGACAACATCTGGTGGCATGATTGATTTTAATGTATTTGATACAAATCCTCCCGCGCCGGGAGAAGCCATGGAATATCTTGGAATGGGTGACTATATTGACGCTTTTGACCAATATGATAATATGGCTTCACTTAACTTCATCTCGGCAGCTGATGAACAGTTTATTCGTAATCAACAACATTTCGTGAAACTCGATTCAAAATACTATTGATGATGGATTAGATTTGCACCGGCAAATCTATATAATTTCGCTTATTATTTTCGTTTCTTTTTTTTTCAATCGATTTTGGCTAACTTCACAAACACAAACATAAACAAAAAAAATTTCGAAAAAATCACAATCACTACAAAATTTTACAAAAACTTTTACACTCATTTGCATTCCTCTATGCTTAATATTATCTAAAAAAATTAAGGTAACTTTCTGATTCTATTAAATCTTTAAAATTTATAAATCTATTTTTTATTTTTATTTTTTATTTTTTTTTAAAAAAAAAAAAAAAGATTTATTATTTATTTATATAATAATATAATGTATTCTGATTTTTAATTTCTTTTCCTCTAGGTTAACATTTACATTTTCATTTGTAAAAAAAATTCATAAGCCATTTGCATTCATAACATGCATTCCCATACTTTATGATATATATTTACATTTTTATGGAAAGAAGAAGCAATGAAGACGCAAACAATAAGATCATTATATTTTAAAAAAAAAAAAAAAAAAAAGAAAAAAAAAAAAACACAAAAAAAAATGAAAAATTCACAAAAAATATATCTTCTATTATTATTATTTTTTTTTTTTAACCCGGCTCTCTCGTGGCCTTTCAATGAGAGAATGTTATTATTGGAGGTTTTTTTTTTAACGCACAAGTCCTTTACTGTGCAGTTTCATAACCTTATTTTATGTTCTGCAGAAAAGTGAAGCTAGGCAACAAAAAAATACCTACGGTATTTGTTTTTGCCCCTCGAAAACACACTGTTTGCCATACTTTTCTAGGTTATGTTTCAATTTTTCATTGATTTTTGCTTCTTCGATTGTTTATTTAATATAATCTAGTACATTTTATCTTCCCCTTTGGTTTAATAAAGTGTCTAGGTTTCTATGCTAAGGAATACAAAAATTTTTTGTAGTTTATATAATATTAAATTTAATCTAATAATTATTATCGTATAATATCGATGTATACAACCAAATCAAAAAAGAATTTTTTTTTTTAATTCATGTTAATTTTCGCATTTTAAAATTCGGAAAAGTTTTGAATTTTATTTTTTCTTTTTAATATATATAATTTTATTATTTTTTTTTTTAATACCAAAATAGGCATTTCAGGCATTGTAAATGTACAAGCACAGACATCCTTTTTTAATCCCGTCCTTTTTTTCACTTTATATATTTTTGCATATACCCCATTTTTTTTCCACAAAAAATCAATGTAAAAAAAATCATCATATCATTATTGCATTTTTTTATTTTGCATTTATATATATAATCTGACCGGTAAAAAAAAAACTAAAAACTTAAAAAACAAAAAAAAAAAAACAGAAAAAAGAGAAAGTCAAAAAAAAAGAAAAAAAAAAAAGAAAATCAAATTTGTAAAAAAGATAGCTCTTTGAAATTCAAAATTCATTAAAGTTTTTTTTTCTCGCTTTTTTTTTTTCTAAATAATGCGGGTTTATGCGAAAATAATTAGTATGTATAAAATGCAAATGCGAGTTTTTGCCCTTTAACATAGTGATTGATAAAATAGGATGACGAAAGATTCTGGCCCCCTTTATCGCATAGATCGGGTTTTAAGTTTAGTTTGCACTCCGATTGAAAATTTTTTTTAAATTGACCGAATTTGAAGTTTTTTGGCGTTCTCTTTCCTTAATTTCAGTGCCATTTTAAGATGACAAAGAGGCCCTTTTATTTAAAGTTTTATTTTCGTGAAAAAGCACTTGACAATTACCGTTAACGTTAACGTTAATAGATTTTTTTAGAAAAGAAGAGAACTCTTTAAAATCTTGCTACATACATTACCTGATACGCACGTATGTACCGTAAGTGCTTTACATTATGTAAATCTATTGGTCATTCTTTTACAGATTAATGATATCTATAAATGTTCTACGAATTTATGCATCTTTTATGGCACAATATGACTAATAAATAATGCACCCCGTTCAGTAAAAAGATGAAGCGCATTGATGATCGATTCTCGTTGAATATCATTCGATATTTGATCTTCTTTTTAGAGATATTGATAAATATCCAATCATTATCTTTTCTGTATCACGAGGACAAATCATAACAAAAATTTTCCAAAGTTTGAATATTCCTCATTTACGCAAATCATTCGTCATTATGGACCTCTCATACATTTAAGTCAAGACACGCGTCAATATTACTTCACGATAAATTCATCATTTTGGTTATTAAATTAATTTTTTTTCTTTGTTTATTCAAAGGGTAAAATAAATGAAACGTGATTGGTTCTTTAATATCATTAGTGAAAGTAATGGTATGAAATAGTAATACGTGCGTGCGTATCCGAAATCGAAAAAAAATGGAATAGGAAAATCTTTGCCAAACTTTATCATTAATAGTCTGCAAAATATCTTGAAATTATCTTGAAAATTCCAAAAATAAAAAAAATCTAGGATTTTTTTTTTTTTTTAAAAAAATAAGATTTTTATTTTTATATAAAATAAGATTTTGATTTATAAACGCCTTTTATCAAAAATCTGGTCTAGAGACTAGTTAATTCAATAAAGTTGTATTTAATGCTTAATGTAATGTGTAATTGCATTACCGATACGCGATGAAATTCACTCCATTTTTTTCATTTTTTCCATTTTATAAAATTTTCATACGTACGTGCGTACATTATTTATTGTCATTACCTAAAAAAATAAATTCCCTCGGAGATCTTCATCCGGTATAAGTTCCGACGATTTCGATTTTAGAAAATCTTTGGCAAAAATGTGGGCACATGCATATATTCATACAGTGTATACCATTCATATATATCAAATATATATCGATATACATTGTGATACTGTATATCGATATTTATTTAATACTGTATATTTAATATTGTATATTTTTAATACTATATATTTCATACTATATATTCAAGTATAGTATCTTCGTATCATTCCTAATAAGGATTTAATATAGCATCACATATAATTAGTACAACATTTTCAATCTTTCTTGATTTATTTAAATTGACATCTTTTTTGACAGATTAATTTTTACTTTGCTCATCCATTTTTTGACATCTCTTTATGGTATAAACAAAAAGTTTATCCCGAATTAATGAAATAATCATATGATCTTTGAAAATTTTGCACAGTAAAATTTTGTAAAACTTTGATACATATGGAATGATCCTACTTGATTATTTAATCTTTTGTTACATAAACTTAATAAACTTAATAATTTTTGTCAAACAAATAAATATATAATTTTTTTTTTTTTAAAAAAAAAGTTTTTAAACGAAATACACAATATATTACCCCATCTTATACTGACTTTTAAATATATCTATTTTTGTAAAGTCCGTGCCCTTGCGAAAAAAAGAAAAACCTTAAACACTGTTTGTTGTTAAAAAGAATGCCGAGTCTTAGATACACGAAACTATATTCTCTAAATTTTTTTTTTTTTTTCATTTATCTTACATTTAATAAAAGATATTTTTAGAAAGCTTCTCTCCCTGTATTACTAATATAGGTATGACAAGATTTGTTACGAATCATAAAATGTAAAAAAAAAAAAACTCTATCAGACAGTCAGATCAATAAATAAATATTTAATCAGATCAAAAGTTACTGCTTTGTCAAAATCTTAAAATTAAAATCGATCATTTTTTTTCTTAGCCAGGGTTATTACTACGTATGGTCAATTTGTCATTTAGTTTGGGGGTAATGTGGCGCATTTTAACTTTTAACTCTTTTAAACTATATCGATACGTCGTATAAGCAAAAACAAATACTGTAACTTTTTTTCTCTTTCTTTTTTCAGTACATGTAGATGTCACGAGTAAAAGTCGGGCCGGTGTTACAAAACAAATATTTCTGTACTAGTATTAAACATTTGTCGTTTTAACTTTTTCCCGTGACACACAGACCAAGCTGTTCGGAACTTTCTCGGCCCCTTCTTTTTAATAATTTTGGTTGGATTAAAATTTTAGTGTAACATGCGCCTTCCTATCACATAAGTTGTATAATCATTCTATGTCTCTAGTGAAATTATCAAGGTGTATGGATTATTTAATCAACTTGTGATACTATGCGATATATATAATTCATATGACATTTATTACATTCATTACATTCATTACACTCAATTGTGTGGGCTATACTAATTTGGTTTACTAAATTTAGTTAAGTAATACCCATACAATCGTGCGATGACATTCCCCATATGACCAAGTATTAATGACTGTCATGCGCATTAATAAGCACAATTAATTTCTTGTATACTTACCATTATGAATTTTTAAAAAAAATGTAAGAAATTTTTAAAATTCCAAAACTTATGCGATGCAGAAGCAATGTCATCAATGCTCTAAATTTCTAGTTAATGTGCATGCATAAAAAAAAATAATAATAAGGTACACGTGTAAACTGGAACCTATCCTAAAATTAATTCTAAAAAACAATTATATACTCTAAAAAATTTTAGTATACTTAATAGACCATATAACTGTTACACCAGTTTTCATAATCCGATTTTTTATTCGACCAGTCGAATTGAAAATCTCTTTCCTATAAATTTACTATAAACCAAAATTATGATCTAAATGCATCTTAGCCGTATGATTATACATAAAAAGAACCGGCTATATCGTTAAAGAAAAAAGCATCAAGCTAATTTTAATAGAGTAATCATCCTTAATCACTTTTATTAATCTACTCATCGGCAACAATGTTCATATTCATCTTCTTCCACATTCACTATCGCATCATCATCTTCTGCTTGAGACAGATGTGTCCATAATAGTACTGTATTTCCTAAGAATATAATGATCGTTAATATTCGGAAATGAATTTAAATATTGTATAAATAAATCGTATTGCATACCATTAAAGTCCTGTCGTTCTTCACTCGTGACTTCCTCAGTGTGAAACATCCAGAGGTGTCCATTATTACATGCATCCATACATTGTTGACATGGTTGAGTGATATGATATCCAAGAACATTTCCACTATGAATAGAACCATTTATTAAATTTATTTCAAAAAAAAAAAATTCCCTATTAATTATTAATCTTAAAAAAAAATATATCTACCAAGTCAGGCATGCCACATCGCGGATCTTACAATGACAATTTTGTGTTAAATAATCTTCGCCGATTAATTGTACCCTGTTAAAAAAAGATTAAATTAGATAGATTAAACATTTTGATAATACATTGAATTTAGAATATGTGAGAGGAGAGGCTTATGCTGAGACTTGGTAAATCTATAATATCTATCAATATCAATTCACATATACTCTTTTATTAACTATATCATAATCTCTATCCTAATTCTATCCCTAAAAAAAGAAACTTTAAAATTTTTATATTTAATCTATGTTAAAATCTCAGCTTAAGCCAATCTCAACATAAGCTATCACAATAAATACGTACGATAATGGCGGTACATCTGTAGAATAAAGCTCGACTCTTGTATCAGCAAGAAGCATAGCCTAAATAATTGTCAGATCTCTATCACCCAAATATCCAAATACTCTGTAAATTACCCACCCTTTCTATCTTAATTCACCGCCATTTATACTATTTATACTCATTAACCATATTCAGGTACACAAAATACCCAACAGGTAGGTATTCATACGATCGCTTACCTTCATTCCCCTCACACACACTCTTGAATTACAATATGTACAATTTAATTTACAGACTGCTTTACTTCGTGAACGTATATTTTGTTCATTGTCTTGAAATGGTGTGTTTCTTTGCGTTGTTGTAGAGGTTGTCGAAGAAACGTTATCATTAGTATCTTGACTACTACTACTATCGTTGCTGCTATTCACTCCAGCTTGTACCATTCGATTAAATAACAAATTTAGTTCTCTATAGTATCTTTGTCTGAGATGCAGCCTTCGTACCCACCGAGTAGATGACGAGGTGATAGATGTGGAATTTGGTGAAGGGAACGCGGCAGCTGCTGCAAATGTGAAAACAGGTGACGGCGCCAGGGTTGAAGAAGCTAGTGGTGCCAGCTTGTTTATTAACTGGTTTTTATCGAAAACAATGTATTATTTATCCTAGTTCTTATATTTATGATGACTCTACTTTGCGCATTTTACAGACGTGAAAAAAAAAAAAAAGAAAAAAAAAAATGTAAAAAATCTATAAAAACCTTTATAGTCGCTTCCCGCAGTTTCGCGTAACCGAATATCTATAATCGGTTAGGTTCAGATATTATCTAATAGCATATATCGTCACAAGCTCTAACGTTAAAGTTGAAAGTACGCGCGTTTAAGAACAACCTTATCACATGATGTCATTACCCGTTAACTGTTAAATTAAATTAAAATTTAATCTCTTAACTGTTAACGTTAACAATAATCATGAGATCATAAAACGTCGTTTATACTGTAATATTATGTCGTAATATTTAGTATATTTATTGTTATAATGTCGTAATAGTTAATCACACCATTTTCAACTTACGATTTTTTTGGTTTTTTTTTTTTTATAAAAAGGGTACGTATCTACTTAATTTCTCAACAACAAATATTTTATATTCCAACGAAAAATACTTCAAATTTACACATTTAAAAGAAATTTTTTTCAAACTACATTTTCTCTAAATAAAAATAAAAATGGATCTTGATGATACGGTATTGTTTTTGATAATTTTCGTCAATCTTCGTTATAAAAGATTTCTGGTATAATTATTTAATTTGATTATATTAGACGACTGTTCCTGAAGAAGTTCATACTTCAGTAGATGAAGTTCGTAAAGCCGAAGAGAAGGCACGAGAAGAACGTCTTAAAGAAGAAAAAAAAATCAAACAACATGCTCATGAAGAAGCTAAAATTGTGAAAGAAGCAATAAAAGATAGTTTAGAAAAGAGAGATCAAATGTATGCATAAATTTATAGTTGAATTCTAATGTATATTAGCGATAACAGAATTTTATTACTATTTTTGGTTGTTTTTTTTTTTTTTAATATATATATACATATTTTATAAATAATTATATAAATTTATATCATATATTATTTTTTTAAATTATAATAAAATTTGTTTATAATTTATAAAATATATATATATATATTTAAATAAATAAAAAATTTTTTTAATAATGTAAGTTGGTAAATAAATTTTTTTTTGATTTATAAAATTATTATTTTATTTAATAAAAATAAATTTATTTTTTTTATTAAATTATATATATAATAAATTTATTTTTTTTTATTAAATTATATAATAAATTTATTTTTTTTATTAAATTATATAATAAATTTATTTTTTTTTTTATTAAATTATATAATAAATTTATTTTTTATTTTTTTTTTTTGATATTTTATTAATATTGTATAGTATGAAAAAACTAGTTATTACAAAGTAATATATATTGTTACAATGCTATAGCCTTCTTAGTATAAATATAGCAAAGTAACAAGATCATCTAATATAGTGATATACTTTATAAACATACATGAGGTGGATATGAAGTGTATACTTTAACTTTACAGCAAGTGGCAAATAATTTGAGATAATAACAGTTTATAGATAATAATATTTATTAGTAACAATTTATAGTGATAATCTTGCCTATAGGAATTATCCTAGAGAGGAAATATTACACTTTACAAATAAGGAGGGGTAAAGAGGTAAGATTAGATTCTATGAGAGAATAGGAAACTCTCTATAAGAGTAATTAAACTCTATAAAAGTATAGGAACTTTAACTTGACAGAAGGGACGTAAGGCTTTCTTTTTAACAGATAGAAATATAATAATATAATTGCTTAACCATGTAGAGATACTTAGAAGCACTTGTGCAAAGGCACTCAGAGGTATTTTGTATAAAGGTACTCAAAAGTACTTTGTGTAAAAGCATTTAGACGCACTTTGTGTAAAGGTATTTTGTATAAAGGTACTCAGAGGCACTTTGTGTAGAGGTACTCAGAGGCACTTTATATCATGTACTATTTTACTTAGCTGCAATATTACTGTGCTTTATTCTATTACCCAATAGAATCTTCTCTATTCTAAATATAATTAACTATAACTAATAATCTAATACTAATAAGGTGCGGTGACCTAGTGAAGTGGTGGGGTTGCTGCACCCCCAAGTGGCAGGTCTAGAGTTCGAATCCCACAGACAATGATTTTAAAAATACTAGATCTGTATCGGTTAACGTTAAGATTATTAGTTGGATCCAGATATCTGTAATCTTGGTTACACCATCTCGAATGGGAGCTTCGGCGCAATAAATTCAGAAAACTGGAATTACCAAAAACCTATTTGGCAAGTCCCAAGTAGGGAGGTAGTATAATTTTTGACAGTGCTACAGAAAGACCGAATTTGAAATTGAAGACCGAGACCGGAGAACCAAGCGACCAGGTCCTTAAGTGGGGGGACACACCAGCCGAACCGCTGGGTCGCCAACTAGAAGAAAAGGATATATGCTCTAAAAGCATGTACCAAGAGGAAGGAGACTATAAGGCACCTAAAGCCTAGGCAGACCGACCCTTCCGGGTTGCCGGCTGGAAGTAAAAAAAAGACTAGTTAAGAATCCAAGAAAGAAAGAAAGTCCAAATATAGGTACTGGGTTGTGCGAACCTTACAAGGGCGAGGAGTACATAATGGGTGCCTAATTAGGAAGGTTGGTGTTTGAGAAATGTCTATAAAATGGCAGCACCCCAAAAGGTGGTGTGAGATATGAATATAGAATGGCAGGTTAATATGTACTAATTAGAAAGAAGTTATAGAAACAAGCACGTGAATACATATGTGGGACATGTATAGCTGTGTTAGGTTTACCTCGAGAATAGTTAAGTGTCCTAAGGTAGGGTGCGAAATCCATATTGGGTGATACCAAAATCTAGCGTATGAATAGTGAGAAAACCCATTGGGTTAGAGGGCTGATGGAGGTAGTTAGAACCAGATGGTTTAAATGGGCACCCCCCTAGTTAGGGTACAGGTACGGCAGATAGTGTAGAACCTTCGGGCGGACTACTTAAATAGGTACTCAAAAGGTGCACGTGTGGCTTGATGTACCATCATTGTAATTATATATAAACTTCGTCTATACTCTAATAAAAAGTTCTCCAGACTAAAGAGATCACCTTAATACCAAAAAAAATAAAAAATAAATTTGTTATTTAAGAAATTATAATTTTAATCATTATATATAAAGATAAGACTTCATATTTGAGGTAAAGTCAATAGAAAAGGGACAAATCATTTTTAGTGAAATTTTTTTTAATTTTAAAATTAAAATATCTCAACAACTAATTAATCAAATTTGTTAAAAATTTTTTTATTTTAAATTTA